GAGGTTGGCCCAGGATCGAACATTGTTTCGTTCTGCTGTGCATGGGGTCACTATGAGTCGGTTCCAACTCGATGGCACCTGACAACAACAACAGCCACCCCATGAGAGAAAGATGAATCTCTCTGCCCCTGCAAAGATTCACATCTTTGGAAACCCTACACAGGGTTGCTATGAGTCAGAACCGACTTGATGGGATAACAACAACAGCAAGGAGATTAATGTTTAGGCTGTTAAAAAAAAACAAACAAAACAAAACCTTACAGGCCTCCTGAGATGTCAATTTCCTACGTTATTCACAAACCCATTTTAATGATTGATATCTCTGACTATTCAGGAAGATTTTTTACATACGTAAATTAAACCCTTCACATACTGTGGCATTTTTCTTCTGATTTTTTCATTTTTTTAGCGCAGTTAGTCCGTCATGTGCATTCTCTTCAGGGTTACCTTGTTGAATAAGATGTGAATACCTATTAAGTCTTGAAAATCTTTGGGATTCTTACCACCGTCTCCTTTTTCTCCCCTTTAGGAACCTAAGATTTTGGGGATGTTAGTTATGGAGTCCCTGGGTAGTGCAAATGGTTAACACACTCAGCTGTTAAATGAAAGCTTAAAGGTTCAACTCCACCCAGAGGCACCTCAGAAGAAAGGCCTGGTGATCTACTTAAAAAATAAGCCACTGACATAGGTAGAGCAGCCGAGGACTCTAGGCCCATGGAATGAGAAAGGGTGTCTGCCCATGGGCAGGAGGCTGGCTTGCAAAATGTGCCTTTTGGACATTTAAATGAGTAAATATTTCCTGTGTGTTTTGTGTACATTAAAAAAAAAAAAAAGGTGAGGGGAACAGAGGTAAATAGTGTTAACCAATAATGCATAGATGGGATTATAATCACTGCAATGAAACAAAATAGGATTTGTTGAGTATAAAACTGATGATCTGCCCTGCAAACTATCACTCAATTCACAGTAAAAGCTTTTAAAAAAATCAGCCACTGAAAACATTATGGAGCACAATTCCACTCTGACACACATGAGGTTGTTATGAGTTGGAAACAACTCAATAGAAACTTTTTTAAAGTCAGTTAGATCCACTGATTCTCCTTCCATCTCTATATTCATTCGACTCTTCCAAGAAATCTACAAATTAGACAAGTGGTGTATTTCCTTGCCAAAACCCTCTTGCTTTTTATTTCGATGAGCTGCTTAAATATGCAATGACCCCATCTCCATCAGTTATGTCCCAGCTTGCCCAAAGTGCAACAGGGAATATCCAAATTGCTACAGGTCACCTAGTCCATAGAGCTTACATTACAAAAACACACACTCTAGGCAGAATCTGGGAAATGCCATCTTCAAAATAAGTTGTGTCACACAGTATATTTATTACCACATGGTCAATAAAAGGAGCACTTGTGAGGTGATTAAAAATTGCGTACCAGGTAAAATTGGTTGTCCAGCAATTCCCATTGGTGCCATTCCAAGATTATTCATTGCTGTGGCCCATGCAGTTGGATCAGACATAGGCAGTGTCATTGCAGTAGAGTCCACACTCAGAGTTCTACTATTGTCAGCTGAAAGAAACGACAAGCAAAGTAACTTGCTAAGATTCTGGTATCTACTCTACTTACCCATAAGCAAACTCTGACAAACCCTTTACAATAATGGGTAAATTGTGTATAAGGTCTCGAATTCAGGTTTCTAATAAGGGTTGAAACAATACAGATTGAACTGGCAGGCAGTCATATAAAGTTTGAAAGCAGTTTGTCAGATGAAATTTCGTGTAAGACTTTCTTTTGTCTTCCCTCCATCTCTCCCTTTCTTCCTTCTGTCCTCCCACCCCTGCCCATCCAGGGATTTTCGCAGTTGGCAGTAAAATTTGAAAAGTATACTCCAGATGCAATTTCATATCTTTGAGACAGTACCATTGAATAGAGCTGGATATACAATCAAGAGACATCAAATCAGCCAACTGAGCAATTTTGGGGTTAGCGAAATGCCAGAAGAAAACAGACAAGAGACATGGTCCTTGCCTTCAAGGGCTGTACAATCTATCGGAGAAATTGATGGTGATGGTGATGTATTCCTATTATCACCTGTATCATCACCTGAGCCACCATTAGTGTTACTAATTATTGAATGCTTACTATATGTTAGGCAAACTCTTGACATGCCTTAATTCTCATTTAACTCCCAGAACAAGCCTATGAAACAGAGACTATTCGTATCTCCATTTAATAAATGAGAGGTTTATAAAAGCCACATAGATTGTCCTAGGTCACACAAGATGTATGCTTTTATCTACTATGCTTTATTATCTCCAATTAAATAAGAAACACTGAGATATTTGAATGATATAGATCAAAATGTTTCAGAAGTTCAAGGAATGGAAAAGCTTCTGTGGCCTAAGTAAATGGGTAAGGCTTCACAGAGAAGACAGAACTTTAAAGGATGGAGATTTCTATATACCGTGTCTTAAGTGATTGGTAGGAATTAGGTAAAGAAGGAGGGGAAGTCTTTCTAGGAGCAGGGATAATAAGACATAAGCGAATACATAAAAAGCATGTTATACATGTACGTGTGTGTTCTGGTGGGCATTGTAGGATAAAGCACTGGACTGCTAACAACAAGGTCAGCAGTTTAAATTCACCAGTCACTCCTTGGAATCCCTATACAGGGTCACCATGAGTCAGCACTGACTCAATGACACTTAACAACATGTACCTACTGCACAGCTGGGAGAGATAGTCAACTGAACACAAAGAAGACTTTTATTTTGAGAAATTTCCCTCAGTCTACTGACACCAATAAGGAGCTCTGGTAGCGTAGTGGTTACGAATCGGGCTGCGAACCTAAAGGTCAGCGGTTCGAAACTACCAGCTGCTCCGCGGGAGAAAGATGAGGCTTTCTACTCCCGTAAGGATTTACACCCTCGGAAACCCTGTACAGGGTCGCTATGGGTCGGAACCGACTCGACGGCACGTAACAACAACAACTGACACCAATAGGAAAGACTTTTCATTTTCCATGGCTTTTGCCCCACCTCCCAGTATGTATTTCTGCCAATGACACCCCTGAAAGTAACTCTGTTCTAATAGTAGCTAGTTAATGTCCATCACATCCTTCCAATTTGGCAACATCAGGGATGATCCTTGGCCAGATTATTTATACATGTGCTATTTTGGTCATTGATTGGTCAGAACAGGCAAACACAAATGTCCAGAAGTACTATTTAGTGGAATATAGTTTTTTGTTATTCTTCTTTGCTGCCTATACCTTCTCTCCAACAAATCTCTCTCTCTCTCTCTCTTTCTCACATACCCATGCACACATACACACACCACAGAGCAATTGATGGCCCTAGGTATTCATTATTGTGGTCAGAAGTCAGATTTCAGAACCAGTGATTTTTCCATTTTTAGAACTGTAGCCCTCACACTCAGTTTCCAGCACTCTCTCATAAAGGCATATGATGAGTTTAAATATAGCTTCCTTGTAAATATTATCAACAAAACAAACAGAGGTCCTTAAATAGCCTTTGGGTCAAGAGTTTATATAGTGAAAGTTAGGTCTACCTGGACCCCTAATTTCCAGTTAGAGAAGATAAGCATTTAGGGGATGATAGTGACACTGTAGGATGTCTAGGATAAGCACTAGACTGCTAACCATAAGGTCGGCAATTCAAACACAGTAGCCACTCTGCAGGAGAAAGATTAGGCTTTCGGCTCCTGTAAAAATTTACAGCCTCGGGTACCCTACACAGGTTTCTATGAGTGGTAATTGAGTTTATGGTAGTAGATTATATCTATGTATTTATATATTGTTAACTGCTGTCGAGTGAATTCCAACTCATAGTGGCCCTGTACAGGGTTTCCGAGGAGCACCTAATGGGTTTGAACCACCAGTCTTGTGGTTCAAACTGACCTTACAGTTCATTGCTTATCCTACAGTGCCATACCAGGACTCCATACATATAGCTAAACGAAGAACTTGTGCAGCGATTAAGTGCTCAGTTGCTAACTGAGAAATCAGTGTTTCAAACTCACTAGCTGCTCTGTGGGAGAAAGATGTGGCAGTCTGCTTCCACAAAAATTTATAGCCTTGGAAACCCTATGGAAAAATTCCTGTCCCATAGGGTAGCTATGAGTCAAAATTGACTTGAGGGCAAGATTTGCTTTTTTATAACTGCAAGAAAAGTCCTTGGGTGTTGCAAATAATTAAATGCTTGTCTACTAACTTAAAGGTTGAAGGTTTAAATCCTCTCAGAGGTGCCTCAAAAGAAAGTCTTGGTGATCTATGAGGGGGCCTCAAAAAGTTCATGGAAAAATTCCATTATCTTTTCATTTCATTATTCTACAAATTTGTTGAAGTCACCCTGTACTTCCAAAAGTTCATAACCTTGAAAAACCCTATGGAATGCAATTATACTCTACACACATAGGGTCTCCAGTTGGAATGGACTTGATGGCAATGGGTTTAAGGTTTAAGCTTTAAGGGTTGCCAAGAGTCAGAATCTACTCAATGGCATTTTCCTCCAGTATCACTAGAACAGCCTTTAGAAATTACTGTGTCCACATTCTGATATCCCCTGGTGGCTGGAGAATGATTTACAGAGGAAACATTACATTCAGTAGGACTAGACATCAATGCCAAAAATAATTTCTTGTAACAGTTTGGCTATTCATTAACTCTGCAGTACTGGGAAGCATAAGAGCATTACTAACTCTTCTCTGCAAAGGATTTTGAGATCAAATAATGAGAATTTACAATGTACCAGCATGGCCAACTTTGGTCTAATTTGAGTATTGGAAAAGGGAAGAGTGATCTAAATGCTTAGGTTTCTTTGTTTTGTTTTGTTTTTAAAGACTTGGCTGTACTTGTACTATTTTCAAAATATATAGAATTCAAAGAGCCTGTTAAAATGTTAGCAAGTAGTGGTCCTGCTAGGCTTGTTTATATGAACTTACAAGGAACATGTGTAATTAACACCATTAAAATTCACAATGGATGTGGTTCTTAAATTCTTAAGAGGATCTGTCTTCAATGATTGTCTCATCTGTACTGCCTCCCCTCAAAACCATCTCTACTTGTCAATTATTACTCATTTTTCAAGGGTCATCTAAAATGCCACCTTGTCTGTGAAGCCACTTTGCTGGAATTAATTAACCCTTCCTATGTGTTCCAATGTGTTAACAACATGTGCTCCAATAGTATTTTATCTCAAATTTGATTTTCATGTTTGTTAATTCACTCACTCAGTCCTTTTCCCTACCAAACTTATATTCAGTCTTACTATATGCTGGGTACTATGCTACAGATTAGCAATAAAATTCATGTATTGCCATGGAAGCACACACAATACAGAACACACAGTATAGTGAGAAACCCAGACACAGTAATTAAAATGTGAATCACTGTAATAAGTGCTGTAATAAAACTAGGAGTAAAGTGAATGGCTTTAGAGATGAGAAAAAATATTTGCATCAGAAAACCCTACCTGTGGCTCATGGAGATGAAGGTGTGATTTTTTTTCCCCCTTCATTTTCTGACCAAAATCAACCTCAGGGAATCTCCCACTTTCCAGGCCACTGGAGCCATTTGGAGGTTGTAAGCTGAGGGAGAAGCTATATACAAAAACCCCACTAGGCCAGGATCGGATCCAAATCTGAAAAGTCGACCCTGGTCATCCCTGGACTGCCTGACACATGGGATAGAGGGAAAAAATGAACAGACACATGGGCTAGAGGGAAAAAAATGAGGGGGGAAGGAAGGAAAGAAAAAGGGGAAAGAAAACAGGCGAGCAGTCTGTGTGGGTCTACTCTCCAATTGCAATGTGCCCAATTTAAACTTTCTCAGATGGCTATGAAGGCAAGACGTCAGTAGGTGATAGACAACAGTGCATATTGACAGAGAAAATCATTCACTTTCAGTCTCCACCTGCTGTGTGGGTGATTTTTTTTGGGGGGGGGTTGTTTTTGTTTTGTCTTCCCTCTTCTTGTAAAATACAACAGAAGACATCAACCACAACCATACAGCATAGTCACAGATATTCCATCTTGTTGTTATTGTGGTTAGGTGCCAATGAGTCAGCACTGACTCATAGCAACCCTATGCACAGCAGAATGAAACACTGCCCGATCCTGGGCCAATCTCACTATTGTTGCCACACTTGAGTCCATCAATGCTGCCACTTGGCCAATCCATCTTGTTGGAGGTCTTCCTCTTATTCTCTGACCTTACCAAACATGACATCCTTCTCCAGTAACTGGTCCCTCCTGACAATACGTCCAAAATATGAGAGATGAAGTTTGGCCATCTTGGCCTCCAAGGAGCACTCTGGCTGTACTTCTTCCAAAATGGATCTATTGATATTCCCTCTAGAGCCCCACCAATTGGGCAAGAGCCAATACAAGCTGCTACACACCAGAGTAGTGTCTACAACCAACATCTGCTAAAACCACTCTGAATTGAACTGTATGAACAGTGAACAGAGAAGCTCATTACCTGATCACACCCAACAAAAGGCAACTGGGGAGTGCCTAAGAATATACCAACATCCGTTAATCAAATTGAT